AACCATTGCAAGTAATCATTGCTTGGGCCAGAGTGATGCTGGCTTGCAAATTATGGCTCTTCTGTCCTTAGCTTCTTTGGTAGAGATTTTGCGAGAAGGTATAGTTTCTGTATTGCCTGTTGCCATTCCAAAGGCTTTGGAGTACATCAAATCAAGCATCGAAGACACTGTTGAGGCTCAGAAACTCCACAACGCTGGATACACTTTTATAAGCGCTCTCGTACAACACCTTCCATACATGATTACAGGCGGATATCTCGATACCCTTCTTGCAATCTCCAACAACTCAGCAGAGGCTGAGCTCGAAGACGAGGCAGATGAAATAAGAGAAAATTGTCTTCACTTGGCTGCAAAGCGTGTGGATGCTAAGAGTATGTTCGTTGCTTTGGAGAAGAATTGGGCGCAAGCAGTAACGGCAGGAACTTGGGTAAGTCTTCCATTACTGTTCTTAAAAGTTTTATGAATACTTACTAATTTAAATAGGCTATCCGTGAGCAACTTGAGATGCTTAGCATGTCAATCAAAGCTCATCCAAAGAGTGTTGTCTCAAAACATTCCACTATACTTGCGAAGATATTCCAAAACGCGTTCGATCTTCGAAGACACTTGTCTAACGCGGATGATTATGACCAAGGCGACGAGACTATTTCAGAAATAGAAGGACAGGTGAACGAAGTCGCTTTAGAGATGATCTACAAGTTCAACGATTCGACATTTAGACCTATATTCTCCAACCTGGTTGAATGGGCGTCAACATCATTGCCCAAGAAAGATAAGTCTGGCAGAAACCTGCGTTTGCAGAGTGTTTACGGGTTTATGGCCGTTTTCTTTGGCAACCTCAAGTCAATCGTCACAAGCTATGCCACGTACTTGCTTGATAATGCCGTATTGATCTTGAAAGAGACCGATATTAAGAATGATGCTTCGAGAGAATTATGGACAAGAGTTCTTCGAGCTTTAATACCATGTTTCGAGCACGACCTTGATGACTTTTGGCAATCTCCAGCTCATTTCAAGGCAATCGCACATGTCTTGTGTGATCAATTTGGGAACGCCTCCGGATTACCTTTGATCGATGAACTCGTTCCCGCTATCGTTGAACTTGCTGCTGCCGCTGATTCGTCGGATCATCATAAGGAACTCAACGGGATGATCTTAAAGCATCTCCGCTCAGAAGTATCTAGTGTTAGACTCGCAGCAGTCAAGTGCGAGCAAGCGTTGACGGATAGATTGGGAGAGGAATGGCTGGCTATGTTACCAGAAATGTTGCCATTCATTAGTGAGCTCCAAGAGGATGATGATGAGATAGTAGAGAAGGAGACGAATCGCTGGATTGTTAAGATCGAGGGGGTGTTGGGAGAGAGTCTGGACTCCATGCTTCAATAAATGTAGATATACCTGAACAAAAATAACGGAGTTATCTTGGAGCTCAAATAGTTTATTTAGTTGAGGTTTAATGAATGGATAATCATACCTGATGACAACATTTTAATCTTACATTGTTACCATTGATGAAGTGGATGCCTTTTCACCATTGCTGGACGATGAAGTGATCGGTTTAGTCAATGTCACGTGTAGGCGCGTATCAAAAATTACGCGACAAAACACGAATCTTATAACCATCGCGTCTCAGCATTTGCCCTGCTTTCAACGAACGTCAAAATAAAATGTTTAAACCATTCCGGCCTCCACTCTTAAAAAGTGCGCCAAAACCTTCCAAGCCGGTCGATGAGTTCTCAGATGTCCAGGTCATATCAGATTCTGAGGAAGAAATTCTGACTAAACCGGTGGCAAAGAAGAGGCGGCTTCTGATTCACAATGTTGAAGAGGCTCCAAAAATTAAAGCTCCGATTGCATCTTCGGCTGCCAATGCGCCTCGAAAACCTTTGATGGTTGTAAAGAATCCTGTCGAAGCAACTCAAGCCCCTACTTCATCAGAAAATCCAACCAGCATTGACGGATACTATTTGGTATTATGGTGAGTGTTTGCCCTCTTCTCCCCCCTTCTGCTCCGAATCATATTAATGAGTTCCACAGGCGCAAATTCACAATGAAGAAACATAAGACCTGGGATGGGGATGGAGTACTCGCAGTCACCGGAGGGTACGCTCGACTTCAAAATATTGATGGCAGAGACATGGGTCGCTGCATGTATAATGAGCCTTTGTTACCCGGCAGTACATTGAGCATTGGAGGGAAGGATGTTGAGATTGATGCAGCCATTACAAAGGCAGATTTCCTTTCTGGCCGACACTTTTTAAATAATGGTGGTAAATCTACTACAGCAGACAGTCACAGCAGTCCAGCCGCACGACCTCCGCCTAATCCAACCCTATCAAATATATCGAAAAACAATTCTACGAGCACACTTGGGAAGAGAAAGGATAGTGGCTTAGGCTCGGCAATTCCTGCCAAAAGTTTTTATGCCTCTGCTCCGAAAAGTGATGCAGTCAAATCCCATTTCAAGAATCCTCTTCTAACAACGACAATCATGCCACAGAATAAAAGCGGTGCACCAACTCCCCGGCATGATCCCTCTGCACCAGGGGCGATTGTAATGCAACGGCCCAATCCTAAGTATGTTGCGAAAGGCAAGCAAGTTGTGGATGTTGTTGTCGATCCCTTCTTGGGTCGCCATCTACGTGACCATCAAAAAGAGGGAGTTAAGTTTTTGTACGAGTGCGTTATGGGCTACCGTTCCTTCAATGGCCAGGGTGCAATATTAGCTGATGAGATGGGCCTTGGAAAGACACTACAGACAATCGCGCTGTTATGGACGTTATTGAAGCAAAATCCGGAGCATCCACACGAGGGGGGCGTCATAAAGAAGGCCTTGATTGTCTGTCCTGTGACTCTTATCTCTAATTGGAAAGCAGAATTCAACAAGTGGCTCGGTAATGAAAGAATAGGCGTTTTCGTTGCAGATGGATCCAAAAACATTCGACTTACTGATTTCACTCACGGCAAGAGCTATAGCGTCATGGTCATCGGGTACGAAAAGCTACGCACAGTGCAGGAAGAGTTAAAGAAAGGAGGTGGAATAGATATAGTCGTAGCTGATGAAGGGCATCGCTTGAAGACTGCTGCGAACAAATCGGCGCAGGCAATCAAGAATTTGAATACTGAGAGACGAGTCATTTTATCTGGAACACCCATACAAAATGATTTATCAGAGTTCTTTACAATGGTGGACTTTGTGAACCCCGGTCTTCTCAATGGCTACAATACTTTCAAAAAATGTTTCGAGGCCCCAATCTTGAAAAGCAGACAACCAGGTGCTACAGAGAGCGACATGGAGAAGGGAACGGCCCGAGAAGAGGAATTGGCCGAGTTGACAAAGTTATTCATATTACGTCGAAACGCCAGCATACTTGCAAAATATTTGAAGCCAAAGACAGAATATGTACTGTTCTGCAAGCCCACTCAAGCTCAGGCTGAGGTATATCAGCATGTTCTAGCCTCTCCGGTATTTGGCAGAGTCCTTGGCAGCTCAGAGGCCTCTCTACAGCTTATCACTATGCTTAAGAAGGTTTGTAACGCTCCGAGCCTCCTTGTCAAAAAGAACGATACAGACACGCCTAGCAATTCAAACGTTGCTCAGCTTTTAGAAAGCATACCCCCCGAGATTCTCAAGAAAAATCCAGTTGTGGCCAGCAGTAAATTCAGAGTTCTAAATCGTATGCTTCTGCGGCTTTCGAAGTCAACTACCGAAAAGATAGTTCTTGTCTCCAACTATACTTCTACTCTGGACCTGCTAATGTCGCACCTTTCGTCATTGAACTTACCTTTTCTGCGCCTTGATGGTAGCACTCCTCAAGCAAAACGACAGGATCTAGTAAATACGTTCAACAAGACACCTGCATCAAAATATTTTGCCTTTCTCCTTTCAGCTAAATCCGGCGGTGCTGGTATAAACCTAATTGGAGCATCACGCCTCGTATTGTTTGACGTTGACTGGAATCCTGCTACTGACCTTCAAGCCATGGCACGTATCCACCGCGACGGTCAAAAGCGTCCAGTCAAGATATACAGGTTTCTAATGTCGGGAGGTATGGATGAAAAGATATATCAGCGACAAGTTACTAAGATGGGGCTCGCCGACAGTGTCATGGATGGCAAGAAGAACGAAGCAAGTTTTTCAGCCGATGAGTTACGAGATCTCTTTAGATTAGATGTAAATGCGCAATGCCAAACTCACGAGCTCCTGGGTTGTGAATGTGGAGGAGTTGGTCGCGAGGAGCCAGTTTTATCATCATCTGAGATCCCGGAACCCAATAAAGAGATCAGCGCGAGTGAAGAGGATGAAGAGGACGATGATGATGAATTCCCTATCAATCCAGCTTGTTCACTGGTGCCAGCAACCAAAGCAAATGTGGAGGCCCAGCAAAAAATTGCTCTTGAAGCCATTAAAGGAAAACGATCCAAGAAAGGAAAGAAGATGCAAGCGTTAATGGAGTATAGACACATTGATACTTCGATGTTCCACGTTAAATCGGCGGATTCGATTGCAACAGAGGTAAACGACGTAAAACAGTCCCTAGATGACGACGTCTTACTTTCGGTTCTAGAGGATGAAAGATGTAAAGTTTGCTATGTTTTTGCTAAGAAAGGATAGAAATGATATCAAGATAAGTATTTGGGTGGGGATAAACATTGATTTGCATTGCTAGGCGCCATAGGATTGGTTTCAGATCTGGCATACGGGAGTTTGCGCTGGGAATCTTAGATATATGATGATGCTGATGGTGCTGTTGGTGTCGAACTTCTGGGAAGACTATAATGAAGCCAACGTGATTAAGAGTGGAATTAATTGGCTTGGTGTAAATATTCATTAATATAAATAGCTTAATATATGATAAACAATCCCGATTTTACACTTCATGCAGCTCATACTATTATTTCATTGAGGGCCACATCTGGAATGTATAAATAAATCCTTTATAAATCCTTTCTTCGATATCCTTCTCTGTCCAGATCACCTGAATTTAAAGTTCGTTTTAAGAGTTTCGATTGGTGGGGAGCTTCAAACTATACCAATAGTAGCTAGCCTTTCTTTCTCCAGTGATGACTGAAGTTCGAGCCACATCTCAAAAGCTCGAGGGCCAAAAAGTCGAAACGTATGATAACACATCTTCTTTCGAAGAACAATCAACTTATAAATTTCTTTCATGTCCTTCCTTCGCTAGATACATTGTCGCAAACAACATTTGGAGGGGAGAGTTGAATTAAATTTATAATTTGCGTGCAATTTCACTTCAAAAGAAAGGTCTTGAAGGCCAAAAAATAATTTCAAGATGAGTGGAACGGATTATTCCTACGATGAACAGGTATGGAACTTTTGCGCATATAGCACAAGGAGGTCAGCTAACATTTTTCAGGGACAATTTTTCCCTATCTTCGTCGGTACACTCGTTGGAATCGTATCTACAGCTTTGACTTGGGACGTTTTAAGACCCAGATCAGATCCAGGCGCCACAGCGCCCCGAATAAAGACGGATTACAAGCCAGAACATGCGGATCTCATCGATAGTCAAAGGAGGGCACAGAGAAGAAAACAGAGAAAGATAAAACGCATGATTGCCATGGTTGTGGGGTGGGCGATAGTAGCTCTTATGGCATACCAATTTCAAGTTACAGCCAGAACTGTAGCAAAAATCTGGAATCCATATGATATCTTAGATATCAAAGAGGTAATGTGGCTCTAAACATGTCTTTTTGATATTGGCTAATTTCGCAACAGTCCGCTACTGAAAAGGAAATCAAATCACACTACAAAAGACTTTCGTTGAAATTCCACCCTGATAAGATCAGACCTGACCCAGCTAAAAACCAAACAATCGAATCATTGAACGACTACTTCGTAGAGCTTACAAAGGCATACAAGGCACTTACTGACGAGGAGATCCGAAACAACTATATACAATTTGGACATCCTGATGGTAAACAGAGCTTTAGCATCGGAATTGCTTTGCCTACCTGGATCGTCTCTGAAGGAAACGGAAAATATGTCGTACTTGTCTATGCGCTTCTTTTGGGAGTTTTACTTCCTTACCTTGTCGGAACCTGGTGGTATGGCACTCAGCGCATGTCAAAAGAGAAGGTCTTGATTGAAAGTGCCAACAACTTGTTCCAAGAATATCAAGAGAGCATTACCGAGGGTGGAATTGTTGGTGCTTTAAGCAGTGGTGTTGAATACAAGAAAATTTTGAAAGGCCACAAAGCTGATTCGGGACTTGGCAAACTGGAATCAAGGGTTCTTGCAGAAGGAGATGGAATCACTGCTGCAGCGGGCTTGTCAGCCAAGGACAAAACAAAGCTAGAGGATTTAGATGGCGGTGCCCGACGAAAGGCTCTTGCATTACTATGGGCATACTTGGGCCGAACTGAACTTGAAGACGCTGAACTCAACAAGGCAAAATACGAAGTTGCTCCTATCGCTCATGACCTCAACAATGCATTCACAGCTATCACTCTCGCTTTCACAACTACTGGCCCTATTCTTGCATCATACGCGACTGCTCAGAACATCGTTCAAGCTTTACCACCGAATGCCTCGCCCCTTCTTCAATTACCATATATTACCCCAGCTATCGCAAAGGCAATTGAAGGCGACTCCAAAACTCATTTGACCCTTCAGCAATATATGGCACTACCAAACGCATACCGAAAGAAGTTGAGTGTTGGAAATGGGCTTCTCACAGAAGCTCAATATAAAACGGCCATGTCTACTGCAAAGCAACTTCCTCATTTACAGGTTGAGAAGGCATTCTTCAAGGTTACAGGCGAAAAGTTTATCACCCCTAGCTCATTGGTATCCTTTGTTGTCAAAGGGCGATTTATCCCTCCTGGAAGCGAGAACGTTCCCAAGGTTAACGAACTCGATTTGGAAGATATTGACCCAGACGAGGATGATCTTGATGCCATCCTTGGTCGCGCGAAGAAGTCTGCCAAGGGCGAAAAGGCCGAAAATAAGCAGGTCTTCCCACCTCTTGCATTCGCCCCCTACTTTACACGTGACCATTCGCCTAAATGGCATGTTTTCCTCACCGATAGCAAGCAAGGCAAGATTGCGGTACCACCTTTCACATTCTTTGCCTTCGACAAACCCATATTTGATGAAAGTGGAAAACCTACTTTCAATATGCAAACGCTTAAGGCACAGTTCCAGGCTCCCCCACAACCCGGAAGCTACACCTTCGTCATGCATCTCATTTGTGATTCATATGTTGGATTTGATACCAAGCTTGAAGCTACACTTGTTGTGGAAGATGCTAGCAAGGCTATGGAAATCGATGCAGAGGACGATATCAGTGAACCGGATGAAGGTATGTTAAAATCTCAGTATTATCATTTTTTTAATTGAGTTCGTACTAACAAAATCTATAATAGATTCCCTAGCAGGACAGATGCAAGCCATGAAAACTGGTGTCCCGCCACCCAAAAAGAAGAAGCAGGTAACTCGAGACTCGAGTGATGAGGATAGCAACACCGAAGAAGAAGTTGATGAACAGAGTGAAACGGATACAGATACTGATACTGATGGGGAATAATGAGTCACGCTTCTAAATCTATATCATGAATTCATTCTGAAGCGGATTTCCGACACTTACTCTTTTACGCTTATCTGACTGATTCCCTTGGGTGTTCGGGATTATTTCTTTATTGGGGGAAACTTTATCTTGTGTACTTGTACAAAATAGGCGTGATGAGCATTTTGGGTTGGCGTTGTATGTTATACACATAGCTTGTTGTGTGCGACTGTAGCTTTGCTTGGAGTAGAGCAGAACAGAAATGCAATGAATTGAATTGGAAATCTCGATTATGAAAGATTGATTACATTTAACCTTCTTATGTTCATTCCAAGCACATCATCCATTTACACCCTTAAAATATTTGTAAACCCATCTGTCTCGTGTTGTCATAGTGCAAATGATGTGAAGTATGAGATGAAAGTGACACAATTAAAATTTGTCTACATGAATATTTCGACGCGTGATTCAATCCTTTTCTTTTCCTTCTTTCCTTGCTTTCTGGCACCAATACCAGCATCAAATGCAGATCCAGATGAGGATTCAAGACTCCAAACTCCTACACGCCGATCCAGAACTCCCATCTTGGCGCTCCTTTTCTTCTTCCTATATAAAGACGAAAAGAAAGGGGGTTTAAATGAAGTACAGCTATCACAACTCTACCAATCCATCTCTCGCCATCCCAGTTCCAATCCAAACTATCCCCAGCTCACAATCCCCCTAACAAATCCTCACACCACAGATATCCACTCCCCTCCCTTCAATCTTTGCCTTCCTCCCAAAATATTCTCTTACGATTTCCTCTACAAACGTATAGTCGCCTGCGCTCCATACATCGAGACCCATGCGTTCCATATCTGCACTACTGATGTATACACAGCTTAGTCCATCTCCTTCTTCTTCCTCCTCTTCCAAAGAGGAATTGTCGGTTGCGTCTCCTCCTCTACCGCCACCACCAGAATTGTTACGATTTCCTCTATTGATTAATGGCGAAGAAGAACTGTGTGAATGTATTTGATCATCTTCTCTTTCATCGTCCGAATCACTCGCATCAATGATATCACTCAAGCACGTAAGGATCTGCGTAGTAAAACGATGGAAATAGGCAATAATACCCATCTCCGTTTCCGCCGTCATCATCCCACTCGCATTGAAACCTAACGGAGTAGGGAACGGATTTGGTGTGTGAGGAGAGGATAGAAGTGCCGAATCAGCTTCCCATTCTTCTTGAGAATGGAGGCGCTGTTCGCCCGCTGAAGCCCACCATATGAATCCGGAATATGCGAGCGCAGCCCAAGAGACAGGCTCAATGATAGAGTCTGTATCGGAGATATCGAGATTAGGGTCGTCTCGGGGAGGAAGAGTAGCAGTAGAGGTGTCAAGGGTGGTAGGGGAGGGAAATTGCTCGAGATAGGAGGTGGTGGATGCGCGGCGCGAGGTGCTTATGTCTGGGGAGGCGGGCTGGGGGGTTCGGGATAGACCCCACCGGAGGGCTTTGTAACGGCGTAGATCACGTTGGGTGGCTTTTAGTTCGATGTCGCCAGGCGATAATTCGATTTTAGGCCAGACTTTTGCGGTGGATGTGGAGGCGTGGGGTGGTGGCATGGTTATGAGGATATCGTAGAGATGGGTTTTGGTAGCAAGAATACTGTCGGTTGTACACGCTATCCAACCACAGCCAGGTTCATCGCGCCCTTCAGTCTGAACGGTATCTTCGGAGGCGGCTCTTCGTTTCGAGGCTTTGAGATCATCTTCGAGGAGGGGTATATCGTGGACACCGATTGAGAAAAGGGGTCGAAGTCTTTGTGGTGGTGCAGTTGGTTCTAGTAGATCGCTGACTGCAAGTGGGATATTTGATAGAATGGATATGTCATACACTGTTTGACATTAGTTGACGTAAGAACTGCATGGAAAGGCTTTCTAACCAAAATCGCATGTCTCATGTACAGGCGCATGCGCACTGATCAAAATCCTCCTCCGTAAAAGTGCAGCTCTATGTATTGGGAATATCATAGGGCCAAATGTGTCCAAGAGTCTTGGTAAGCTCCAAGCAGGGTGATATACCGACAATGTGTGTCCAGGGGGTATTAAAGCTGTGCCATCGGAAGCTGAACGATCTCTATTGTGACCTTTGGCTTTCGGTGGTGTATTCCGAGCTTTGTATCTAGCACTTGACGGAGAATCTAGTAGTGAGTCGGTGTCTTTACCTTTCCCCAGATCATCGCCTTTGTGACTCTCCCAAAATCCCTCAAGTCGCTCCGTCTTGCTCTCGTCAAGTATAAGCTCGCTGAAAAGAGCGTCAGCAGGTATCACATCAATTGGTCGCGGAGTCATACCTTGCGAGATCCTTCAAGCTCTCAGCATGCTTCCAGCTCCTGCCCAACCTTCCATAACTCAAAGGCACCATGATACCTACAGCAATCATCCTCGCATTCCTCGAACTTTTATCCGCAGGCGCGTTGACGAATGCGCTGAGTCCTGCATAATTATCATGGGTGAAGTATATAAGATCCTCTTCCACTGTATGTAAGCCCGACGGCAGACTCCTATATTCAACCACTCCATCTAATTCGATGCCTGGTAATGAACGTTTCCATCCAATTGTATAGCCAGCCTTGATATCGAAATATATCATGAATAGTGCCGAGAGGGGTGGGAGATCGGCAGTGATGTTACTAATTTCGATGTTCAATGGATCTTCTCCTCGACGTTGGGCTGCCATCGCATATCCAAAGAAATGGGATTTATGTGTGAGGAATGAATATAGATATGCCCTCGATTGAGGGTAAAGATATCTTGAGGAATATGGATGCTGTGCTGTGCATTATTCGACAGTAACTCTTAGGTAGAATGACGATGTTTGGGATGTTTGGGGTTTAATTGTGGGTGATGAATAACCCTTGTCCTTGTTCATTTTAAGTTTGAGCTTGCATGTTACACGTAGGACTCCAGAATGAAAGGGAACATCACATTCATCACATTCATCACATTACATCGAGGTAATCGTGGAGAAATCTCAAACATAGTTCGAAAATAGAGTCACGTAAATATCCGCACTTTGTATGGCCACATTTTCTTATCTACAACGATATTCATCTTTCGAGTAATGCGGGCTTAGGTGTATTCAAGCATCTGAGGGATGTCCATGTATATCTTTATCATATGAGGATATATTGCAATATCACAGGGTCAACGGCGTCGATGACTATTGGTGAATAACTCCCTGGTCGAATCTCTACCCCTCTCTCTACTCATGAACCTGACTCATATACAGACGACTATCATCTGAAGTGCAGTAGTATGAGAAGATCTTAACCTACATAGGTAGCCTTTCCAACTTCATGTACCTCCAGCTACCTACGTAGGTGAACATAGAAGCACTTGGAGATCAAGGCCATTATTAGTTGCAAGTTTTCTCATGTTTATTCTTTATACTGCTTTGCGGTTGTATTGGAGCAGAGCTACATGTCCTTGATAGATTCATGATGTTCAGCTATCTTCCTTTCTTGTACTCGTCGTGTTGAATGACATTGTTTAATCAATCGACTGTTCTTTTTCTTGAGATCACTTCTGGATATAGCTGAGATCACGTTTTTCCAAAGCTACAACACGGTTTAAAAAACAAGCTACAGTATTGTATATCAACTTCATCTATGGCAACTCAATTACATGCTTTGGCATGTGCAGATGAAGACCATGTATGAATGTTATGTTTCATTATGTATACATCATGTACCGTCTTCATTGTTGCCATAGCAATCTTTTAAATCATGCCACCATCCATGGGAGTTGTGATCTCGAATCTGCTCGAAGGTCAAAAAGACGCGGGGGCTGTGCCGTTTCTTGTTTGTCCTTTTGTTTAGAACAATCACGCCAGAACGTTCTGTTGTCGCCATCTTCAAGTAAGTACCCTTCTCGGTAAATTAAAGCACCTTCATAACATGGCATAGCACAAGGACAGTAGAAGATACACACCTTGATAGTTCTCATCTCAATTATCAACAACATACAGATTCACTTTCCACATCAAGATCACCACGTACCAAATTCGAGAGCATGTGGGTAACATCTGCGATCTGATCCCTTTCAAATCAAGCGCGCCTCGAGAGTGAATAGAAGTCTGCAAATAATTTCACATATCAGGTCTCTGTCATCTTCCTTTTGCAACAATCTTCTTCCGATCTGTCGTCTTTACGCATATTTCAACAACAAGAATTCGAACATCTACAACAGAAAGCTGCAAAGGTTTCAACGCTACAACTCCTACAATGGCAGGTGAAATACTTCATTCACTTAGTCCAAAGTCGATCAAAAGAGGAATCTTACAGAACCTCCACAAGTTGTCTGTTGTAAGTTTCTTCCACTCCCTTCCCCCTTCTTCCCCTCCAAAGGTACCACCAGAAAATGCTCGGATGCTTCATATCCTTGCGAATCTCGGCCAGGTCTTCCAAAATTACAGCAGTGATTGCGAATCAACCCAGAAATGATATCAAGATTGTCGATGTTGTGGTCCAAAACTGTATAACTACCATCAATTCCTGTATCCCACAAACCACAAACATTTCTAATTATTATTCTAGCGAAAGCAAACAACAAATTCGCCACTACCAAATGATGGCTCGAACTTCATCATAGCACCAGCAACACCTCCGCTCACTGATGATTATCATGATTACTTAGACTTCACCATGGGTAGAGAATCAATCTATGCTTCGGCAGCTAATATTATGGGCAATAAATCAATCTATGCTTCAACAGTCGACACCATTGACACACCACCTTTAACACCTCCAATTTCTGAATCGCCAATTTCTGATTCGCCACTTCCCGGAACTCCAGTCCTAGAACTTCAACAATTATCTTGGCCCTTACCAGAAACCCTCCCAAGAATGTTCCTCCGCTCCTCAACCCTGACAACCTTCAGCCTTTTCCCCTTTCTCCCTAAAGAATTGCGCGTCAAAATCTGGAAATTTGCGGCCTGCCACCCCCGCATTGTACACCTCACCTATGACCACCCAACAGAGTCACTCGTTTCGCTTAGTCCCATTCCTGCACTTCTCTCTACCTGCGGCGAAGCGCGCGATGAACTCCTTTCCCTCTTCAAACAGTTGGCTCTCCCACCCTCAGCATGTGGAGCTAAAATTTACGTAGATCTCGATGTCGATACTGTTTATATTCGACGAGCTGCAACTTCGATTGAAGACGTGAGTCCTTATACTAGTAATTTCACGACTACCAAGGCGATCTTTGGGGCCAATGATTCGGCGGCTCGTCATCCATTGAGTGATGTTAAGCATCTTGCAATCGATTCTTCACTTATTGATTCACCAATCGAACTTCGTCTTCTCTGGGGTGATTGGAATCATCGTTCTAAGCCCTCGGATTTAAAACTAAGGGAGCTAGAAACCCTTAAAATTGTTTATGCGCCCATTTCTAAGAGACCCGAGTTGAGAAGGATTCGAGGGCATCCGCAGATTAGTTGCGATTGGGAGAATAATGGTGTTGAGAGTTTCACCATCTTATCAAGAGAAGACAGATGGGAGCGTCGTCATTATCCTATTAATTACGGAGGATGGATGACAGAACCTTCCTTTTCTCCTCGAGTTTTCAATTATAGACAAGGAGTGTTTGTGCACCAGGACCCGGACTTCTTGAGCAGAGTTCATGTTTGCGATAATGATGGGGAAGGAAGGGGAGAGAAGTATTTCGACTGTCCGGGTTGTCATGGATACATGAGTTTGGGCGCGTATAGAGCGTATATGAATATGATGGAACGCGATGTTGTGGGTTGGAAAAAACCAGAGTTTGATGGAGTTGTGTATGAGAGAGAGATGGAGTATTATTCGTGGGGTTAATGTTAATGTTGATTCTGTTTTAGGATTTGAGAGAGAGCAAGGGGAGATGGCTTTGAGGACGAGGATTAGGACTTGGGACGATGGCTGTGGACTAATATTAGGGATACAAGGACTTCGACGGTTTGTAAGATTATATTGTCTTTTGCGGATTTTCACTTGTTGCACAAAAGTTTCATTGACAAAGGATTTGATAGACGGATCGATAGACGGATCGACAGAGAGAGAGAGACACATGAATTGATTCTCCATACGACTTTACGACTTCACGAAAACATAGGCGTTGGAGCGAGGATACTTCGACTGTTTATACATATTACACATGTTAAATATGTATGGATGGAAAGATTTCCGCTTTCATCCCTACACTTACTACGGAATTACGAATCACGATAGTGCAGGAAATTCTGCAGGTTCCAGGAGGATATACAAGATGTATCTTACCTAGAGACAGAGAGAGGTTCATAGGATACAGAGAAAATGTAATGGTTAATTCTGCTGCTTGCAGCAAGAGAGTGAGGGAGTTCATATTCTTGGTGTACATAGCTATTTCCATAGAAGAATGCATTGGGTTTCATTACTCACTTTTTGTATGCTGGTGTGTTGCTGATGTTTGGCATTTGTTTTGTTATGAGTGTCATTTGGTACGGTGACATGAGAGATGGTGATTTATGTTTTGATTACTATCTTGATATTATGGGATGAAGGAAGAGTTTGTTAGTGAATCCTGAATGATAGTGTCTCAGATGACTTATCTTTCATCTCATCAGCGCTTGGGAAAATTTAGAATAGCTTTGTTGGATTTGCTTGCTCATTCTATGGTGCACACAGAGGGAGCCCTGTCCTTTTACTTTCCAGACAGCCTCTGTTGCTTTCTTTCCCATATCTCAGAGCGCAGTTCTTCAGAGATGGAGCGCTTAATTCTTTTACCACCCGGTAATCAATGAGACGAGAGTGTTAGAACTTGATTTGGAAATAGTAATATCCGCACCCCAAGAGTCGGTCGATGAATAGTATACGTAATGGCAATAACCGTGATAGATGGATACATATCATTCCCAGAAACTTACCCATAACTACCTAACGAGCAAGATTATCTTTCGAGACAAGAATAGAGCGGTCGTTATCTACTGTGCATTATTTAAGTGAAGTCACTAGCTTGAAGTTTCATTGTCGTACAGTTTATTATTAGTGTGATCTCATGGGCTGGCTTATATTTATCCCTCAAGCGCGTAGAGTACACAGTTGAAGATATTGAAGATAAAGAAAGGATTGGCAAGGTTATATAGCTTACCTAGGTAGATTGAGGTGGGCTCCCTCTGGAGAGCTGGGAGGGGTATGATAGGAAGGTATGGTATCTGATTTGTACCGATTTCAAATGTGCTAATAGTACTTCTGGAATCGACAATCATCGTCTGACATGATTTGATTGTTTCATGAAACTGTTGTCGAATAGTGTTTTAAAAGAGGATTGGAGTACCGACCGCATATTAAATTCTGTGATTTTGATAGAGAGATTTATAGATGAGATTGTGAGGAGGATAGTAAGAAATATGTGGAACTTCTGTATTATTTCGTCTGGAATCAAGGATTGAGGGTTCATAGTTACTAGGTATATAAATGATTCCCCAATTTATGATTCCCCAATTCACTTCTTGCAAACCCGCAAGATAAACAAATCCCACGAGAATATATAGACTCTCCGCTATTCTCAATCCCAATCCTGAGTGATAAGATTCCCGAGACCCAAGCAAAAATACTAGTAACTACAGTCCATCCATCAATCACCCAAAGCACCAGAGGAAATAGGAATTGCGGCGTCTAGTTCTACATATTCAATTCCTTTTGGACTCTCGGAAGACGTAGAAAATATGTATATATCTCAATCAAGCGAATAGGAAGTTTGACCACCAGTCAAACACTTCAAGAACCTAATTATTCCCTTCGGTGTATATGAGAGCATACTTGAATATCCTTGGGGGAGGGAGAGAAAAGGCTGACCTTCTGTTTGACATTATCAAATACAATTCTTTATTCGTGGTTGATTTCAAAAAAATATGTGTTGCCGGGGCTTATTTTTTCTCCCCCGAACATCGGTTTGGATTAAGATATCACGTGTCAATCGCCTCGGCTAGCAAAAATGTCAAGACTGCCACAAAAAGACCACAGAGATCCAGAAAAAATTGCCAAAAAAGATGAATATGAGATTCAAGGAATTCTATGCTGAACTCTCTGACGGGGAGTCGAACCCCGGTCTCCCGCGACTTGCAATGTTATTGACAAGCGGAAATCATGACCGTTAGACCATCAAAGATGTTATGTTATTGTTGTGGAAAGGGTCAATATTTGAGAATATATATTAGAATACTTGATCAGTGCAAGCGAGGGAATAAAGCATTGGCCTAGTGCTGACCGGAGTGGAGCGTGGTAGGTGGGGCGGGATGTGATACATGTAGCGAGCGGAACTTGGGCTGGCTCGGCTGGGTAGAAGAGAGCTACGGGGAGGGGTGGAGGGGCGATTAGATGTATATCATCAGAGATAATGTTTCCGGTAAGGGAGCGAAGGGTTTGATATGATTAGTGTTGTCTTGAATGTCGCAAAATAATTTCATTTGTGAAAATTGGATTATGATATTATTGTTGTAATACTAATTGAGAACAAGTTGATATTGTTATGAGAAAGACGTGTTGGCGATAGCGACGTTGAAAAAGATAGTTGTGAAAGACTCAGCTTGCCAAATCGTGGGAATGACGATAAAAGCTCAAGATCGAGCCATATATACGACCTCAAGTACCTAGGTATTGGGAAGAAGGACTTACCGAAATGAACTATGCCTAAAGAGCAGAAACTTTCATTTACCTTCATGAAACTCAAATGACCATCGGAAGGCAGTTGGCTTTCCAGAATAACGAATTGAAAGTCTATTGACGATGAAGAGATCTCTTCGCCAGAAGCTTTCCATGCCAGACTTTTGTCTTTGACATTTGAGAGTTACCTACCCACTCATGATGTATCTGCAAGCAAGGTGTAGAGTATTCAAACTCCTCTCCTCTCCTTGATTAGGGAAAGGAAGGAGTTCTCTCCTCCGTAGTAAAGAGAGAAAAGAAGAAAATCGGCAGGGTTTGGTAGGTGTCAAGCTGATCATGAGAAGGTGCAGAGGAGGGCAGGGAAGACAGAAGGTAAATTAGAAATTCCCGTGATAGTATCAAATTGACATCAGATCGTACTGTTTTGCACTAAAAGTCAATCACATAATCGATTTGCTTCTTCTTCCACCAAGGAGAGATGATGAGGAATGAATAATTGACATAATTTAGTAGTTTCTTGCAGGGCCCAGGAGAGAAGGGGGAAATAGTAGGGGATAAGGTTTCAATGATTGCAAGCAGCATAGAGTAAGATCTCTGAACAAGTCGTAACATGTATGAAATCAAATACATCATATTTGTGCTTTATGCCAACTTGGTTATTGCTAGTGCAGAAAGCAATGATCAAATTCATGCCATGTTCAATCGCTATGGTACCTGTCTGTTATCAAGATGTCCTCCAACCAAATAATCGAGAGTTGTGTTTATGGCGATATAGTAAATGTGCGTCCAGCTGCCACTCAGTGCATCTTGCCGATGATCTTGAACAGAATCCATTCAATGCTATATGCTAGATCGATAAGGTCGCCGTGGGTTCTTGTATAGTGAAGGATCGGGGGAGGCTGATCATCACTTGATCAAAGCTACATGCCCTCAACGATTTGTTGCAAGTCGCAGGTTGAGGCTCATATACAAGATGAGATAAACCAGATCCTCTGAACGTTTTTGGACCTGTTGGGCCTTAACCTTGAAGCTATCATAACGCTTGCCAATGATATCGGAGGATGGAAATCCTATGTGCATATAGCCGCGCTATGTGGACCCATGCGGGTTTTTGAATGTTGCCAGCTCCACCACACCCGCTCAACCAAACCTGATACCCTCAAATCCCCACTATCTTTTGCATAGAACTTATATGCATTTGAAACAAAAGAAAGCACATGAAATAGGCACTTTGGCGGAGTGGTTAACGCGATGCCCTGCTACTGTAAGAACAGAGTCAGGCATTTCCTTCGGGAGCGAGTGTTCGAATCACTCAGGTGTCGGAGCCGAAACTTAGCTTTTGCACTTTTGATCTATGATTTTCATCCTGGTTGGTTTTCTCTTCTTGGCTCTCATTCTTACAGAAATGAAAGCAATCAATCTTATGGCCCGTAGAGAGAGATCTGCAAGTGCACGACTGTAAGATTAGAACTGAGCCTTCTTCATTTATTAATCAATCATCTGGATTATCTATACCTTTCATGGACACCATTAAATGACATCAATTCTGGGTTCTGCGCTGTTCAGCCAAGGACTTGAATTACTCTTGATCTGTAGGATCTGACTGTGTTAGAAGAGGAGCGCGTGGAGCATCAAATTGAAGTATGAATTTGTAGAATGAATCCCATTCTTTGACATAAAAGTCGACGCCTAATGTGGAGTCAAAATACCTAAGATAGCTTAATTGAGGCGGTGAAGAATGGAGCTTTATTTAGTAAGACATTATATAATCATGTTTCATTGGTTCGCTCGCACCTTTTGCGATATCAGCCTTGTGGCTTAGGCGAGGCTACTGCCGAGGGCCAAGCAAAGAGGATTTACGAGTTAACTTAATCTCACAGTGTCAAGGGGTTTCTTGATTTAAAATATCTCAGGCAAGGAAAGAATGCCTACAGATTGGTGGAATTCTATATGCACTATCTCATGGACCCTCCACATCACATAAGGCTGAGTACCAAGAAAGGGGAGCATGTAAGATTGTCATGTAATGGGCAGTGCTATATGTATATATTGACATAGGTAGGGACTTAGCTTTCCATTCCAAGCCTTTTCTACTTCCGTGTAAGAGGTTGCATCGTATCTACTTGCTTATTCATTCCCGCCATCATTGACAATTCGATTGGATCCCCCGGAGATTTTTCGAAAGTTTGGAAGAGACAATGCCTATTGAAACCCCCAATCAAATTATACCCCGATCTAGGAGATGTGGACCCAAAGTGAAGACAGGCTGCCAAACTTGCAAGTATGAATTCGGAATGTTGTTCCGGTCAAGGAATGATCCTCACTGACATAATCCAGGATACGTCGAGTCAAGTGCGATGAAGCCAAGCCTTCATGTGAAAGATGTGTTTCCACTGGACGAAAATGTGATGGGTATTCCACAGACCTGAAGAGGTTGAGCCCGGAACTACAAACATTGTCAGACATTCAACGAGTGCCTACATTTTTACCTGGTACTGTAAATGAACGGCGAGGTTTTCAGTACTTTGTTTCCAATACAGCAACAGAGCTCAGTGGATATTTTGATCCCTCTTTCTGGAATCATCTCATATTGCAAGCAGGCTCTGTGGACCCATCTCTTCGGCATGCTATCATAGGACTTGGGACCCTCCACGAAGATTTCTCGAACCGAAGATTGGACCTTGCGACAAAATGCGATGCTGCAAGATCAGGATTTGGGTTCGCTACAAGTCAATACACAAAGGCCATTTCACACCTTAGACGGTCTTTAGCGGCAGGCAAACAGAAACCTCTCACAGCTTTAATGTCTTGTATTCTTTTCGTTTGCTTTGATTCTTTACGGGGTCATTTTTCAAGCGCAGTGATGCATTTGCAGAGCGGTTTAAAGATACTGCAGAATTCGCGATTACGAAGCAATTCTCAAGACGAGGATCTGATAGAAGAGAACATTGTACCTATGTTCATGAGACTTTGCATACAAGCTATTCTGTACATCGATACCAGAGAAGTTCCAGAACGTATGGCTTTCGCAAAAGTAATATCAACTATCAGTACTCGAGAAAATATCATACCGAGAGAATTCAAAAACCTGGATGCAGCAAGAAGAAGTCTCCTTCACGCATCTGATAGCCTTTTCCGAGGGGGTTACTTATGGGATGGTAACCTTCCTTCCGCCTGTCAACCAAAATCAGCGATGGATTTATATGTAAAATCTCGTACGCAATTGGACGCTTGGAGAGTCTCATTTGAGAACTTCATGAAAAGCCAGAGTCATACTTTTGACAGTAAACAATTGAGAGGCGCTGCACTGTGCAAAGTACATTATGCAACTGTGCATATTATGGCTAGGGTTACCGAACTAGACCTAAACGATCCTCGAATCATCAAGGACTCCGTTAATGATCCCAAAAAGTTCGCCGTGTTCGATTCGGAATTCCAAGTCATCGTCAGTCTTGCGAGATCTTTGATTAATGCTGCTGAGGAAGATGCTAAAGCTGGGAGACCTGCATTCACATTCTCAGCCGATTTGGGTTTGATTGCTCCTTTATATTGTAAGTTATTTAGTCTACAATGTTATAAATTAATACTGATTCCATCCTGATTAGTCACTTGCGTAAAGTCGCCCAATGAAACAACTCGTCACAAAGCATTAGAACTTCTACTGCGGTGTCCAAGAAAGGAGGGGATGTGGGACAGCTCATCAACGATCAATCTCGTACGCGGTTTCTGGAACCTCGAACAGAAACTGATTTATCAACCTAGAGAAGTATACCCGGTTTCAGAAAAACTCATGCAAATGAGTGAGGTGGTAAACCTTGTCCTGAACGAGAATATGCAATGGGAATGGAAACTCTCTGAAACTCAGAGAATAGAACCTCCTCGATGCACTCGTAGAAACGATTTCTCGAATCTGGAGGAGTTCAGTTGGCTACCAAATGAAATGGAAGATATAAAATTCTTTGAAATGGCCGGCGGAAGTTCCATTCTGGGGGGTTCTTGGCCCTAACTATATCCGAAAATACGATGAGAGTCTATCAAGAGACGCAATTCTTATATTATAGAAATAGAAGACGCCAAATAGATTTGTTTTCCGTTTAGATATCCAGGTTTATGGCCAAGAAGTGTTTGTGCAGCGATTTATTTTATATATACAAACTCTTCTCTGCTTCCAGAATTCATTTTCCCATTTCATACTGAGGGTGGTATTCCCTTGTTTTGGTTCTTTTGGGCAGCATTTTGATATTTACCTACTGTCGATTTCCATTTCTTATGCCATACACTGCAGATGCTTTTATTTACTAGTCGTGAATCAGTGTCCCAATTATTATGATTTTCTCTATTCTTTCGTACCCACAGAAATTGATGTTAGTCCAAAGATTAGCTTTTCCCACTACCGTGTCTCGAGCGTGTCTAGCTTCACTCTAACGACTAGCTTGCGCAGCCATCTTTTCCTTCAACCTTTAAATCCCCAGATTTCCTACAAATCATGGGATTTTCATCTGTACTTTTTTTTCATGACACTTAAGAATTCTTTTCTGATACTCCTCATTTCTAACGTGTATCCAACAATTATTGATCATATATCTTCTCAATTCGGGTCAATGTATAGAAATATAATATACGTTACGCCTACTACAACTCGATTCTCAATTCCATGACGAAACCTCTTAAAAATTAGTTGCGACAAGATCATATTGATTACCGTTCTTAATTATAATTCTCAAGGGAGATACGCCATCTATTCAGAAGAAGCTTATTCTAGTTGTCCTATTTCATATATTACAATAACATAAAGTTAAAAAGACTTTAATTACGTCCATCTCCCTATTACACCAATCGGATATGAAGGTCACTCACAATAAACACCTAGGCGAGCAAGAGCTTAGGGGAAAACGTGGAAGCGAAGCAAACGCGAACAAAGAAGACATGGAGCACAATTACAAGCACTGCAAGATTCATAATGATGTTATCTATGATAACGTCAACGATGAAGAGGAAATCCATCGTGAGGTTTTGAATGCGAAAGTCTTTTCTCAGTTACACGAGTTCACTAAATTCCACAAGTTACCTCCAGAAATCAGAGAAGCTATATGGAAGCTTGCAATAAACGCCACACTCACCGAAGTCCACGAAGATAGCCGTCACTTGACTCAACATATATATCCACAGGAGGAAGTTGTCTGGAGCTGCAAGTTGATGTTGAGGCATGCTCATACCAGCTCCGAAGCTCGATGGATTGTCGCAAGGAAAATGTTTCGCTTTGGCGGCGATGAATACAAACACCTTACTGAAAAAACGATGGATCGGTGTATCCTTCCGGTGGTGAACGAGATAACACTCCGTAAAGTGGATGATGTGATTACATGCTCAACATTACATAATCCCGCGGAAATGTGCAATGGGGTGTACAGAGGGGTTTTAAGTGATGAGCGTAAAGAGGGACATGCAAAGCACTTGCAAAAGCTCCTTGAAGCATAATCGTGCCTACATGACTACGCCCGAGGCTCTCCCACACCACAACTGGACGTTTCTTTTTGGTTAAGCGACTAGCTTCCGCCTTTCCAATGTTCGAAACGCCGCGTCATTTCGTCAATCGTCACTCTTATCCACGACCTGGTTGCCATCCTTATTACCAACAATTCGAGATACTATCCACAGTGCACATACGAGATTCTATATCCATTGGAAAGCCGTAGATCTTTAAATACAGCTTACTATTCATTATAAATGGATGGAAACCATGTTTGGACACACAATCGCATAGAGGTTGATGAAGCGGAGTCCGGATTTGTTTCGAAGTCGCGGATAAGATTCTCTACTCTAGCTCTTCCTCATCCCCTACCTCAAGCCAGACACCCCACCAATCAGCATCCATCCCCACCAAATTCTCCTTCGCACTTAACCCAACCGTTCGAAAACAACCCCAACTGTAGCACAATCCTCGCGATCTTCACAACAAACCTCCACCCCCTTTCGAACCAGAGCCTGCGGAACCATCCACCCTATCCAAAAGAATCCTCCGCCTTGGAATCTACGAACGATAAAACAGGATCTACCTACCCAGCAGATACCATACCACTCTTACCACTCTTTCCACTATACCACATCGCATCGCATAGCATTACTAATACCAATACCGATATCGATATCTACCCAGGTATTCATTCCCGTTATCGAGATAGACTCGACATGCACAAACATTTTAATTTATAAAGCGATCTCGACGTCATGTATTTAGATTTATTTGACTATCATCTTGTTGATAGAAATCCTAGTTTATATTCTTTAATCTTTAATTTATAATTTATAATCAAATCAAATCACACTATTCAGCTGCCCAAATATTCCTTTTCGTTCTTTCTGAATCATCTCATATAGTATTGATATACCACAACATGCCCAGTAATCCTCCTCATATCTCTTCACGAAAATGAATATGCGTAAACACCGACACACACTCAAACCACGCACTACTAACCTCTCACCCATACAGAAACACAAATGTGAGCGAAAATAGAAAATATATTGAATTCTTAAAATTACACTATCTGTATGTAAAGCCTCAAAAATCACCCTCTCCTCCCAAAAGTGTACTCCATGGAGTATACACACATATCAAACAATGTATCTTACAAAGGAAACAAAAGCCCGCAAGAAACACACTCCCCCAATCCATTCCTCCATGCATGCGTGTTTCCGTCCACTACCAAAGTAGCGACAAAGTTGAAGTCCAGCAAATTAAAAAATACAAGCACCAAGCAATTCACTAACCCCAGGCGAGTCACCCCTTAGAAAGCAGCAGATAATACACGACTATTCCCATACTCGTCTACCCCCTCGTAGCCTCCAACGCCGCCGTCAACGGCACGACCCTCAAACTTCTCACTCTCTTCAAATCAGTTCCCCCTTGTTTCACACTTGGCTGTACAGTAATAGTTGGGGCTCTTCCCTCACTCCACTTCCTAAACACACTTTTTAAATCCTTCGGGATCCCTTCAATGACCACTGTTGAAACAGGTACAAAAGGGCGATCTTCCATGCCCGCTGAAAGAATCCCATATTCCTGTACGAATTGAAGTGCGGTGTGGAAGGGGCCATATTGGGACTGAGCTTTGGCCCCGATGACAATGTAGATTTCGAAAAAGGCATCAAGAATGTAAATACCAGTTGAAGAGAGGTCGGCTTGGGAGAAGGGGTTTATTTCGATGATCTAGGATATGTCAGTGGGAGGCTATACATGGAAGAAACCGACGACATACTTGTTCTTTTCCTGTATCGGTAGCACAGAACAAACGAGCGGAATATTTATTATAGGCTGGCTTAAGTTTCCAGTGATCAGCTGATTGTGGAATCTGTTTGCAATTCTCGAACACTCTCAAGAATGACGAAGGTTCATCGCCATCCTCAATTTCTTCGATATCACCAGTCATTGATATTTCCATTCCGAGGAGTCTAGCACAACCATGCTCTTCAGCAGTACTACCTCGACCCTTCCATAGATATGTCTTGCCTGATGGTGAGGATATAAGATATGGAAACCCGGAGCATAAGACTGAAGGAGAGTAATCAACCTCGTCAAATACCAACATTCCATACTGTTGTCTTGCGCAGAGAATATGAGGAGCGAGAGAATCATACTTTTTAGAAGATCCTCTCCTGATAATGATGATACCACCTAAAGCTTGGTAAAACTCTGGAGTTTCTTTGCCTTGTCTCAATGTTACAAACTTTCCACCAAAACCTTTGGCTTCTCTCTGAGCAAATATCTCGGCGCCGGTAACAACATGTTCAGGAACTTCATCCCCAATCCACCAGTAAACTTCAGTCACTTTTCTACCAGTCGCATTGGTAAATGTATGGGGGCATAAGTACATCTCACGCTCAAAAAGAACACGCTCTTGATGAGTAGGAACAGACTGCCTCTTTCCATCCCCAAATAAATAAAATAGACTGGACTGCAATGTCCGTATCGTTGAGATAGTATCTTGTCGGGCCATTAAAATGCTTGCTGTATCGACTGAGTAAGTTGGGGTTGGTTTGGGTTCCTCACCGAAAAAATCAGCGAGAAGTTGGGACGCTTCAGATGCTTGAGGTACTGGGGAGTAAGCCATGCTGGGCGAGCGAAGACCTGGGCTCATTACTGGTGATGTCAGTGTTTTTGTTGGAGGGATGGGAAGAGCGCGCGCAGGTGTCGACTCTTTTGTAGATTTTGGTCCCATTCGTAGTCCTAGATCAATAGACTTATTTCGCTTCAACGGACTAATAGGCGGTAAACCTACACCTGCTAGTTTTATCTTATCGTCTTCATGAGACTTGTTCCGTTTCAATGGACTTGTAGGTCGCAAACCTGCGCCTACTAAAGCGGCCTTCTCATCTTCGTAGGTTGGTAATTGTATTGGAGAAGGTATACGAGCAGGTGGTTCTGCAGTGGATCGACCCCACAATGCTGCAGTATGCTTGACTGATCTCGATGGACTGAGTGGTGGTGGCTGATCAAAATGAGGTGAGAATTGCGGTGGAGATTTTAACGAATTTGCTTTTCTTGGGGATAACGGAGCAGGACGAAGCTTTGCAGTCTCTGGCGACACAGGTTCATTGAATGTACGATCTTCATAAACTTTCGTTGGTGATGGAGATTTGGCAGGCGCTAGGGGCTCTGGCTTTGGTGGATCTGGCGAAACTATTGCCTCGAGCTTGTTGTGGTTTGCCTTTACCGTGTTCTCGGGGAAATTAGCAATTTTGACGGAAGAAAGTGGTTTAGGGGCTTCCAACGATGGTGTATCCTTATTCTTTGGTGCTTCTTGTAGAAAAAGAGATCGTCTTCTCATATCCAGCTTCCGTGGTGATGAAGGCTGAGAAACTGGAGTGGTTTCTGGCACCTGTTCTGTGTTCAAGGCTGAAATTGTCTGCTTTATTGGGCTTGTAGCAGGCGATGAAAGTTGCTCAGACGCAGCGAAAGACTTGGTAGGGGATGTAGCGGGAACATTTTCTTCGGCTCTTTCTTCG